AGGAATCTCTCCCCTACACCAAAGGCTTCTGGACTGAGAGTTGGAAGTAACTGGTGCATTTGGGAGAGGAAAAGATGGTGAAGCAAGGACAGGAAGTATGGAGGTAAGTGGTGGCCTGCCTGGCCATGCTGACTCCAACAGCACTGTACATTGCATTGGCCTCCCCACTAGCAAGGCTAGCCAAGACCACACTGGCTCTCTCACTCTGGCCCCTGGATGTGGTCTTTGATAGAAGGCTACAAGAGGGGCCTTGCAAGGGAAATCCAAGGACACTAAGCTGAGAAGTTGGAGAGGAAAACTTAGTATTAAAAATAAGGGTATGAAGGTGAGAAGAGACTAAATAATTCTGGGTTGTGTTTACTGGATATAAAGTTGTCCTTCCTAATGTGAGAAATCCTGCAGACGAGTCACTGAAGTTACAGGCCTTCAGACCAACCCCAGAGACATCCAGAAGATAGGGCTCTTATGCCTCCATTGGGAAGCTTTGTTTCCTTTCTTCTCACTTTTCTTTGTTCCATTTATTTCCTGAGTGCATGCTTGCACGTGCGTGCCAGTGTGTATGGCCATGTCTATGGATTTCAGAGAATCTTGGTTGTTGTTCCTCAGATGATAAACTCAGGTGTTGTTCCTCTGGTGCCTTCTACCTTATGTTTGAGGGAGAGTCTGTCACTGGCCTAGAACCTCACCATGTATGTTAAGCTAGTAGCTAGTAAATAAACTCTAGGGATCTGTCTCTCTCCACCTTCCAGCTTGCCATGAATGGGATTGCAGCTATGTGCAACTATTTGCACCTTTTTATGTGGATTCTGAAGATCTGAACTCAAGTCCTTGCACTTGCAAGGCAAATAATTTACACACTGCGCCATCTTCCAATCCCTAACCTGGCATTTTATTGTGAAGTTATGGGAAACACAAAATGTGATATAATCATACTCCATTTTTAAGTCTTTTGCTAGAAGGTTCACTGAAGGTGGGCAGAGTAAGCAAGGAGGCAAGGCAGTAGGAAAGGAGGAGAGCTGCATCAGTGGAACTGAATCTACGGGGCTACAACAGTTTTAAAGCATGTTCACCAAACAGGTGGTGGTAACAGAAATTATGGACAGGATTCTCTACGCTCCCTTGCATGTATGGACATAGTTCATTTTCAAACTGTGCAGTTTGGGAAGAAAGGGGGAATCCATGACTTGAGATAAAGCCATGTCAATGTCAGAGTGTCCTCTTCAGTGCAAGGGACTTCTTGGAGAAGAGGAAGAGTGAGCAATGGAAACAGAAAGAAGTGCAAAAAGAGTGCTTTGATCAGATGCAGGAGTCCAGGGTGCTGAGAGAGGAACATGAGCCTCAACAGTTGGCCCAGGTCCCCACAACTTTTTACATGCATAACCTTTTAAAAAAGATTTATTTTTTTATTATTTTTAATTGAGTGTGGGGGGAGGGGAGGTGAACTTGAATGCAGATGCTTACAGAATTCAGGAGAGGGCTTTGGATTCTCTGAAACTGGAGTGATAGGCAATTGTGAACTGCCTTAGATGAGTGGTTGGAATTGAACCTGGGTCTTTGCAGGAGCAAGAATTATTCTTAATTACTGAGCCAGCTCAAGCCCTGTCCCTGTATCTTTCTATTCTCCCCTTCCCACATACCCTGATGGTATTTTCCGGGAAAAACACTGAAAGAGGAAGCCTGCATCCATCTTCAGTCTTTTCTTCTAAGAACATATGACCCTGGTCCAAGAGGCTGATGACTAGACTGTTTCAGGGTTCAAGTCAGTATTTTAGAAAGGAATCAATTGCCAATAATATAAAATAATATCAGTTCTATGAAGGGACCAATTTGAAGACATGTGCACCAGGAAAATGATAAGAATTCCCTCTGGTACACTCATCCCTAAGTATCTTTCCTAAAATTCTTCTGAACTGATGAAAATTTTTGGCTTACAGAGTTTTCAGCTGTTTAAAGAGGGGCTGGGTTATGAAAGAGATGTAGGAAACTTGTAGTAGTGTTCTTAAACTAAAATTCCTCCTATAAGTGTGAATGTATTCACCCTCCTAAATATTTGCATCAAGGGAATGAGAGACCCTTTCCTGATTCTTTGCTCTTTAGGAATATGGGTCTGGAATGTAAGATTATCACTCTATGCCAATGTGTAATTTTGCCTGTCTTAGTCCATTTGAACTGCTACAACAAAATACTTAAATTGGCTTTTAGATAACAGAAATGTATCCTTCAAAGTCCTGGAGACTGAGTCCAAGGTGGAATGGTTGCCAAATTTAGTTGCTGGTTCCCAGATGCTGTCATGTTGCTGCATTCTCAGAGTATGTGAGAGAGAGGAGGAAACCTAGATTCTTTCTCTTAAAGGCAGCAATCCCATCCCGAGGCTCCCTCTTTGTGATCATACAACCCCCCCAAAGACACCCACCTACTCATGACATCTCATTGGGGATGAAGGTTTCAGCACATGAGTAAATCTCATGATAACAGATTGGCTCATTTTGATGTATAAGAGAAAACTGAGCCTCCTGGTCCCTGGCAGTTGGGGTTGTGGAAGGAACTATTGCCAGCAATCCCTGCAACTACCTGAGTAGCTGCTGTCATTTGCCACACACTCCACCCCTAGGGGGTTACAGAGCTCTAGCAGCCCCTGGCCATTTTGTGCAGTGATGAGGCAGTATAAGCATACTTTTCTGATGCCATGGCAAGTAGAAATTGAGCCATTCCTTTTTTTTGTCTTCCCTCTCCCTTCATCCATCCTTCTTTTTCTGTTTTGAAGTGTGACATCTCTTCTTTTTATCTCTGAGGTTTGAAATATCACCTTGATTCAGGAATTCCACACGTTAAGGTCTTTATTCCTGGGAACGGCACACTAAGGCTGGTAATAGGAAAGGATATAGCAATCCCTTGCTCAGTCAAGTTCAGGCTATACATGGGTGAGCTTCAATCCCCATCAACTAACAATAATAATGAAAGAGGAATGATTATGTAAGGCACAAGTGCAGCATGTCAACATGCTGTCTTCCTGGAGAATCAATCAGATTTAGCAGAGGCCAGGACAGGAGTTTCACTATTACAACTACAGAATATTTTTACACAGTGCATGCTGAACTTCACACTGACAATCTCAGGATCTTTTCTGGTTGTCTCTTACTTCCACTATGATTAATTTATCAGTTTACTTTTTTTTAAATCACCAAGACTAGTTTCTGCTCTAGAAAAAGTCATGATAGAAGCAAGTACTCTAGTGTCCTAATCAACTTGCTTAAGACTCCAGACCTGAATTGACGACATACTTTCTTTTCTGTCCTCTACAACCTTGCTCATCAAATTCTTCATAAACAGGGGTAAATGGACAATAGAAGTTGACAGTGCTCCCTAAAGATGTTTTCAAACAAAAAATAAAGGTTTCCAAAGGTAGAAGATGCTGTGATCTAAGAACACTCACGGGGAATGCCACGCATTAGCCAATCCTCCTTGTCCTGAGGAGATCCTCTAGAGAGGAGTGAGAGGCTATACAATAAAGCCTGTATCCTCACCGTGTGTGAGGAAATGCTCCTGTGTGCCCTCCTGCTTGGAAGTCCACCGTTTTTCTGGCCTTGGGAGTGGTGATCTAGATCAGCAGCACTGGCCCTAGGAAAGGGCAAACTGGAAAGGTTTTTGGTCACAGTCCAGGTGCTCTAAAGGGGTGATTTGGTCAAACCTAGCCTCATAGTTGCAGTGTCATACCTCCGGCCTTTTCTTTCTTGTTTATAATTCATGGTCAAGCACATGACCCTTCTTAGCTGAGTGTTATCAATCTCCTCATCTTACAGGTAAGTAGATGGGGGCAAAGTCACTTCCGATTCTCAGGTCTGTTGACTCCCAGTTCTGAGTTGTTGCCCCACCACAGCCATTAGACAATACCACTTCATTTCCCCAGCACACTGCGTCCTAGAAGGGCTGCACTGACTGCAGTGCGGTCTACATGGGTTGGGTAGTTGGGTCTGATGAAAAGTGGACGTGGCCTTCCCAAGAAGAGGAAATGAAGAAGAGCCCTGTGAAGGACAGCGCACTGGCCAGTGCTCAAGGCATGGCTACAACAAAGATGTGAGAAGAGCTAAGGTCTAGATGGGAAGGGAAGCCTTGGCAAAGAAAGGGACCCTGGAGGGAGAAGCTAGAGGGAAAAAGCAAATACACAGCTTGGGGGATAGCTGAGGTCAAAGGTCTGGAGGAGAAGGGATGCAATGTGGGCGCGGCAGAATGTGGCAGGATGATTTCAGCAAACGCCAGGTATGGCAGATCTAACAATGGGACTGGGAAAGGCCTTTGGGATTTAAGTTTGTCACAGTGAAGACCTTTGAAGAGTTAACATTTCTCCACCGTTGAGCACAAAAACACATGGTGCTTCATTTGCCTTTGCCAGCTAGATGTCTGTGTCTGCTTTTTCTCCCTCCCTCCTCGCTCAGCATTCCCAATGAGCAGAGGTAAAATGTGAGGAGCACAGGCTTCCTTCCATAGTGCCAAAACCTTCTTCTTCAGCTGTCTCGCCAGCTCTTTAAAGGCCCCCAGGACAGAACCCCCGAACAGCTCTAAGGGCGCTTGCACACCCATTTTCGGAGTTAAACTATGAATTGCTTTTGTCCCACAAGCTCCGGCCGAGCCCTAGAACGAATCTGGATCTCTCAATCCTGCAAGGCGGTCCCGCCCCTCAGCTTCACGTGGTTGATAGCGAGTCGCGTACAGCTGACGTCACTAGTATGCGCCCCCAGCGCCCCTTTCCACCCGGCGTGCGCGCCTAGGGTTTCTATCTTATCCTCTCTTCAGACCCCTGGGCTCCCGGTCAGAGGCGGCGCTCGGCAGATTTGCGACAATGTCGATGCTGGCGGAGCGTGAGTGTGGGCAGGGCTGGGGGGCTGAGTGGTGGGGTGG